CGCTGCCGTCGCGCTGCTGGCGCCGCCGCCTGCCGCCGGAGCCCCCGCTGCTGGCGCTGGTGCCGCCCTTGCCGCTGCGCCTTCGTCAGCCGCGCGCCTCTTCTTGGCGAGCCGCCCGTCGACCTTCTGGCGCAGCTCCTTCATGCGAACCTGCCAGTGCTGGACCTCGGAGCGCTTACCCACCATGACGGCCTGCGCGCTCCTGAGCTCCTTCTCTAGATTATGCAGGGCGTCGCGGTCCTGCTGCTCGATGTCGAAGCCATCCAGGCCTGCGAAAAACTCCTCATCGATCCGCACCTGGAACAGGATCTCCTTCTCCTTGGGGGCGATGCCCATGTCGGAGGCCAGACCCTGCGCCGCGATCTTCCTGGCCTGCTCAGCTTTGGCCAGGACAAGTGCGCGGCCTCCCTCTCTCGCTGCTGGACTCTAGTGCGTTTCTCCTGCGCCTTAACCGCCGCGTTGACGGCCTGGTCGTGGCGCAGCGTGGCGTCGCGCCACGCGCACGAGGCCAAACTGAGCGCCTCCTCGGGGCACTGGGTCGGCAAGCTTGCCACCTGAGGAGAAGGATGCGGAGGAGGAAGAGGAGGAGGAGGAGGAGTGGGCGGAAAAGGTGGAGGACGAGGAGGAGTAAGAGTAGGAGTAATATTGGACGATTAGACTGGGTCGATTATGGCAAACACGACCACCCCAGAATCTCCTAAACATGTCCCCGCGACTTTTCTGGAATCTCCGATCTCCCCCCAAAAAAAAAGTTTCCCGCGAATATCCGACCAATCTTCGCCCCTAACACATCTCAAACGTAGTCTCAAATAAATCTTCGCGCCTGAAAAATCGCATACAACATCTCAAAACAATCTTCGCGTTTTACAGGATTCAATCCGATCCCAACCAACATCTTAGTCCCTGGCGAAATTTCCGATACATATCCCAAACAACTCGAAACAAGATTTGCGCTAATCTCCAGAAAAAACACATCTCCCAAACATCTTCGCGCCTTACGAATCTCCAAAAAAACGCTAGCAAATCTCAGAAACATCTCCAACAACTCTCGCCAACGATTCTCCGGAGATTTATCGGAGATTGTTCGAGGATTATCCGAAGATTGTCTGGTGACTTTCCTACGACTTTCCGGGGATGTCCCTAGATTTCGTTTGAGCCCGAAGATTTTCCGGCGATGTCCCCGGCGATTTCCGGAGCCAGATATTTTGCGGGCAGTTTGCAAGTGGCCAAACTGAATTTGGAGATTCCCCGAAAGGTTGTTAGAATATTTGTTGCGCATTAGGGCCCCAGTCGCGTTTGCGATATTGACTCAATCTCAGAGTCGGATTAGGAGTAAGAGGAGGAGGAGAAGGAAGAGGTGTAGGAGGAGGACGAGGAGGAGGAGGAGTGAACGTCTCACAAGAGAAGGAAGACGGGGGCAAGGAGGAAGAGTGAGACGAGAAGGGAGCAGGTGGAGGACGAGGAGGAGGAGGAGGAGGAGGAGGAGGAGGAGGAGGAGGAGCGACCGTAGCTTTCCTGATCATCCGTATCGTCCTGCTCCTCCGTCGTATCCCTCCTGCTCCTGTTCCTGCCCCCGCTCCCGCCGCCGCTCCTCCCCATTCCACCCTCTTGAAACTGATGCTGCTGGTGACGTCGCTCTTCCTCCTTCCTCCTCCTGCTCCTCCTCCACCTCCACTTCCTCCTCCTCCTCCTCCTCCACCCTCCACCTCCTCCTCCCTCCTCCCTCCTCCTCCTCCTCCTCCCTCCCTCCTCCCTCCCTCCTCCTCCTCCCTCCTCCTCCTCTCCTCCTCCTCCTCCTCCTCCTCCTCCTCCTCCTCTCCTCCCCTCCTCCTCCTCCTCCTCCTCCTCCCTCCTCCTCCTCCTCCCTCCCCCCTCCCCCCCTCCCCCCCCCCCTTTCACCCTTCTCCTCATCCTTCTCCCACTCTTCGTGGCCCTCACCTCTCCTCATCCTTCTCCCACTCTTCGTGGCCCTCCCTCTTGTGGCTTTTGTTTCACAGCGTGGCCCCCGAGAGGACTGGACCCCTTGCCTACATAAGACTGACTCTTCTTCCCGAGTCGTTTTTTCACGCTCCTGGGGCCCGGCGAGGGCCCTCGAAAAGCGTGGCAAGAGACATGTGGTTTTTCACAACGAGAGGACTTGAGTCCACGGCGGCTCAATTCGAGTCCCAGGACTCTGCCCGCGGTCCAAACGCACCAGTTCTTTCAGTCTCCTCCAGCCGTGGCGTCGAGGGCCCCCCGAAGGCCCTCCTCCGACCCTGGACTCTGACATTGCGAAAGAAAAAAAAGGCATCATCACCAACAACCGCGAAGGGAGCTGTAGACTGAATTTCTCTGCGGCACTCTTGAGGGGCAACGACAAGGGCCCAGACATGCGACGTCCTGATTTTTTTCAAAACGGCGCCCCCGGAAGTCAGGAACCCTGGCCCCGGGGGCCGGTTTGTCATCCTGAATCGTTTTTTGACGGTCCCGCGGCCCGTCGAGGGCCCCTAGGCGCCGAAAATGGCGAACAACCTTCGTCCTGAATCTTTTACGGCGCGATCGTGTCTGGGAGAGGATAACGGGGGGACGCATCGACCTGGAATCAGCGATACGTCGCCGAGCCGATGGATCGGCGACAGGCCCCCCGGGCGGGACGGGGCTATCGGGCACCCATCGGCGGTGCAGTGGACGATGGGAGGTCGATGCATCCCGCCCTGTGCCTATCTGATCTCCGTCGTTGCCCACGAATTCGTCGCGCCATATCAACCTCTGATCGGCTACACCCACAAGCTCAGCTGCTCTGGTGCGCACGCTTGGAAACGTAACGCGTGCCGTGTTCAAAACGTCCGCGTCCAAAACGTACGTGTTCGCTATACGTGTTGAGCTCCGTATCCATACGCTACGTGTTGCGTGTTGCGTATCGGGGCAGCCAAGCCCAAGAGTGGCCCTGGGTACAGTAGGCGTGGCCTCTGGTGCGCGGCTTTGGGGGGGCCGCGGGGGGGACCGAGCACAAGCGCGCAGGACGCTAGACGCTGTACTGTCGCATCGCGTTCGGCCATCGGGGACCACACCCGGTGGGCTCGCACCAAGGGTCACTCCGGCGAAGGGTCACTCTTACGTCTGATCTTTGGACACCCGAGTTGGGTACCGAAAGAATGGGCAACATGCCCAACAACAAATGTTGTCCCGAACCAACAGCGGCCGCTGTTGGGCGGGCGACCTCCTGCCTCGAATGGACACAGGCCGCGGCGGCGTGGACAGCGAGTCCTGTTCAAAATGAACAAGATCCGCTGTTGGGCATAGTACCCATTCTTTCAGTACTCGTTTCGGGCGTCCAGATGATCGGGATCCGTGAAGGCCCCGGCACCCGGGACCCACCGCCCAGCATGCAGCAGTGGCAACGCGGTCGGCCCGGGGCCGCGCGGCCGCCACGACGGGCGGCACCGTGCGCCGAAGGCCAACCACCGAAGGATTGCAAAACAACCCAGGATTGCAACAAAAACTCTTTTTGCAAAGGATTGCAAAAAAAACATGTTTTTTTGCAATCCTTTTTGCAATCCCAGGGTTTTTTTTGCAATCCCAGGGTTTTTTTTTTGCAATCCTTTGCAACTGGCCCTCCTCTGACCAAACATGGGCCCTTGATCCTCGATCGCCGGATCCCGAATCGACGATCCTAGATCATTGAATCCTCGATCCTCGATTTGGGGTCGGTTTGAGCCCGATCCTCGATCCTCGAATCCTCGATTGGGGTCGATCCTCGAATCCTCGATTTGAGCCTCGATCCTCGAATCCTCGATTTGACGATCCTCGTCCTTGAGCCCGATGCTCGAATCCTCGATTTGGGGTCGACCGGGGGGGCTGAAGTGGCTGGGGCCCCAGAAACTAGGCCAGGAGGGGGGACGAGGTCAAATCCCTTCAAAATCGGTCCCCAGTCCCCTCGGGGTCCGATTCCCCCCCCCCAGGTCCGTCTTTGACGGTCCCCGGGCCCGAAAACGGCCCCCTCTGGAGGCCGAAGGGGATCAGCAACACCTCCCCGAACCCCAAAATCCTCGCACCATCGCCGAGATGGCTGGAGCCCTCCCTCCCTCCCTCCCTCCCTCCGTCCCTCCCTCTCCCTCCCTCTCTCCTCCTCTCCCTCCTCCCTCCTCCCTCCTCCTCCTCTCCTCCTCCTCTCCTCCTCGTCCCTCCCTCCTCCCTCCTCCTCCCTCCTCCTCCCTCCCTCCTCCCTCCTCCTCCCTCCCTCCTAGCCGTTCTTCTCGTAGGCAAGCCGCCCGCCTCGGCCCCCCCTGCGAGTTTCTTCCATCACACTTGGGAGCGGCACTGATGGAAGGGGCCACCCAATGGATTGGGACGACCGCGTGAATGGCTGGGCACCAGTGGTGCCAGAAGTGCTGGTGTTCGGCCCCGGCGTCCGGTGCGAGGTTGCAGGCTGTCGATGCGCGCCGCGCCTGCTGGCGGCTGACGGTGACGAGGCTGAAGCAACACATGATGGACCCGTCCGAGAAGGACGATACCAGTGGCCATCATGGGGAAGAAGGCGGTCAAGAAGGTCGGGTCGGGGACGGTCTGAGCTGTGGGTGTCGTTTCTCCTCCTCCCTTCTCTTCCCCCCCTTTTCCTCCTCCGCCCCCGCCTCTCCCCCGGACCTCTGGCCTTCGAAGCGGTGAAGGGCATGCCATCAGAAGCCAAGAGCCTCAGGAACCGAAAAGAAAGTAAAGAGTACGGCGAAGGGCCATGCTATCCGAAGCAACAGAGCCTCAGGGACCGAATCGTAGGAGGTGCTGTGCGCTGCCATCAGGTGCAGCTTCAGGCTCCTTCGTATGCGAGCGTGCTAGCCAACGTGCTGCTTCGCGCTCCACATGAATCTCCCATGTGAGTTTAAACTCACAGCGAGTGAGCCGTCGACCGCTGTGTTTTCCATCAGAGGTCAGACTTAGTCAGCAATGTCCCAGCAATGTCCTCCCTCCCTCCTCATCCCTCGAAGGCACTGACCCTCGCGGCCGCCCCGGGGCCGCGCGGTCGCCATGACGAGCAGCGTCGTGCCCACGGCGGCGAAGCGGCAGAGGCCCTCCAGGGGGCCGCGGGGCTGCTCCGCGGCGCCGGCCCCGAGCAGGGGCTCCGCCGCGGCGGCGTCGGAGTCGGGCTCGGGGCCCCCCTTTGGGAGGATGGGAGCGGGGAGGAGGGGGAGGGGGGGAAGGAGGGAGGGGGGGTGGGAGGGAGGGGAGGGGGGGGGAGGAGTAGGGAGGGAGTGAGGGGAGGGAGGGGGGGGAGGAGGGGGGCAGGAGGAGGGGAGGGGAGGGGAGGGAGGGAGGGACGGCGGGAGGGGGGGAGGGACGGGGGAGGAGGGGGCAGGGAGCGGGGGCGGGCGAGGGGGGAGGGGAGGGGGAAGGGGAGGGAGGGGGGAGGGAGGGGGGGAGGGAGGGGGGGGGGAGGGTGGGGGGCAGGGAGGAGGGGAGGGAGGGGAGGGAGGGGAGGGAGGGAGGGGGGGAGGGAGGGAGGGGAGGGAGGGGAGGGAGGGAGCGCCCACGAGCCAGGGGAGCTCCGCCCAAGAGCTCCGCAAACGCCCGCGGCCCACGCCCCGGGAGCGAGTAGGACAGCGCTCCGAGAACACGCTGCCGGTTCTGGCAGCTTTCAGGTGTCACGTTGCTAGGACATTTGGCAGGGCCACTCACAAGCTGGGAAGCACGCGACCCTCTCACCCCGCTGAGGGCTGAATTGGAAGCCGCCATTTGGGCCATGGCATGGGTCATGCAGTCCTCCCTCAGTCCACTCCCTATCAGCTTGCTCACTGACACTATGGTGCGAGCATTGTGGACTGGATGGGGGGCAGGGAGGAGGGGCGCAGACCCCTTCGCGCTGTGAGGGGGGAGAGGAAGGGGAGGGGGGAAGGGAGGGAGGGAGGGAGGCGAGTGAGGGGAGGGAGGAAGGGGAGGGGATGGAGGAAGGGGAAGGGATGGAGGAAGGGAAGGGGAAGGAGGGAGGGATGGCGGGGAGGGAGGGGAGTGAGGGAAGGAGGAAGGTGAGGGAGGGAGGGAGGGAGGACGGGGAGGGGAGGAAGGGGAGGAAGGGAGGGAAGGTGAGGAAGGGGAGGGACATAACGATGTGTTTTCATCTTCCGCCTCATGGGGGCCCTCGCCGGGCCTCCCGGACCGTCCAGAAAGACTCTGGATGAAAAGCTGGCTCGCGAAGAGGGGGCGGAAGAGAGGGAGGGGGGAGGGAGGGCCCTGGGATCCAGGCGTCGCATCTGTCAAAACGGACGAGTTGGCCTTGTTCCGCCCTCGCGGATCGATCCGGCTCGAAAAAATCCGCCGATCCAGCGCTTGAGCGACAAGGAGCCGCAGGAAGAGCTTCAGCTCTGAGCCTAAGCAAGAGCTTCAGCTCTGCTCGGGGGGGTCCCTGGGGTGGCTCTGCCGGGGAAGGGGGGGGGGGCGGTCCCCCATCTGGCGTTGTCTTGATGATTGGCGCATCCCCAAGATGTTTCGGGGGGTCCCAGGGACTCCCCTCAGATCTAGCCGCCACCGCCCCCAGGACCCTCCCCTCGGAACCCTCCCCGGACCCCCCCCCGGGACCGCTCAGCGGGAGGCAGAGGATCACGAGAACCAGGGAGACGAAAGGGGACCGGAACAATCGAGGAGGGAGGAGGCCACAGAGCCGCGAAGATCACCGAATCAGGAGCTCCCGGATCGGCGGCACCGGCCGGAGGCCATTACAATACAGCAGAGAGATGGGGTCCAGACCTCTGGCTTAGTTTTTTGTATAGTCATGGTGGTGCATGTGTTTCGTGACGTCGGAGCTCAGGGGAGGGAGAGAGGGAGGGATAAGGAAGGGAGGAACACGGGAGAGCGGAGAGAGACGGAAGGGGGAGAGCGTGAAGGAGGAGGGAGGAAGGGGGACGGGGGTGGAGCAGACCTCCTCCTGCTCCGCCTCCTCTCCCATCAGTGTTCTTTTCCTGCTGCATCTGCTCCCGCTGCTGTTCCTACTCCTGCCCGCGTCCCCCTCGTCCTCCTCCTCCTCCTGCTCCTCGTGCTCGTCGTCGTCATCATCACCATCACCGCAAGCACCGTCCCCCCATCATCATCATCATCATCATCATCATCATCATCATCATCATCATCATCATCATCATCATCATCATCATCATCATCATCATCATCATCATCAGCATCATCATCATCATCATCATCAGCATCATCATCATCATCATCATCATCAGCATCCTCATCCTCATCCTCATCCTCATCCTCATCCTCATCCTCATTCTCATCATCATCATCATCAACAACATCATCATCATCATCGTCACAATCATCATACAAATACGAACTATCATCATAATCGTCATCACCAGCAGCATCAGTATTAGCATCAGTATCATCATCACCGTCATCGTCTTCATCCTCATCATCATCAACATAATCATCAACAGCATCGTCAACATCATCATCATCATCATCATCATCATCATCAGCCTGCGCCTCATCCTCAGTACCATCATCAGCATCATCAGCATCACCAGCACCATCATCACCATCGACAGCATCAGCATCATCACCGTCATCATCACCATCATCAGCATAATAAGCATCATCATCATCAACATGCTCATCATCGTCAACACATCATCATCATCATCGATCACACTACCACGATTCACATCATATACATCGACATCGGTATAGCATTCGTCACCGTCACCACCACCACCAACACCCCCCTCATCAGCATCTTCCTCGTCATCTGCATGATCACCATAATCAAGATGATCACAATCATCACCACAACCACAACCAACATCGTCATCGCCACCACGAACGTGATAATCATATTCATCGTCGTCAATATGATTACCGCCGTCATGATATGACGGCAACCTAACCCCAGGCGGGATCCCCACTCCCGACCTAGTGATCCAGGTGATCCTGGCTAGGGGAAAACGTAGCGTTTGGCTCGCAAGAGAATCCGATAACCACTTCCACTCACCAGCCATGACTCCCTGGGGGTATTGGCTGGGGGTAGGGGTGGGCTGCGGTGTCCCCATAATCATCCGCATGACCATCAGCATCGCCCCAATCATCACCATGGTCGTCATCAACATCACCCCCAACATCACCACCAGCGTCGCCGTCGACGTCGCCATCGTCATCAGCAGCAGCAGCATCAAATCATCATCGCCATCGCCGTCCTCATCATCACCAGCACCATCATATTCGTCCGCACAATCACTGCAGCCACCACCTCCATCACCGCCAACGTCTTTTTGCCATCGTGGTCGCCGTCGTCATAATCAACCTCGTCCTCCTGATCCTCCTCCTTGCATCATCATCAGCGGCACTCGCATCATTACAACCATGATCATAATCCACCCTCCCCTGCCTCCACCTCCTACTTCCGCTCCTCTCTGTTGAAAGGGAAAGAGCGAACCAGAACACAGGGGGCGCGGGGGTGAGGACGAGGAGGCGGACAAGGAGAACGCGGACGGGCAGGTGCAAGAGAAGCAAAAGGGCAAGCAACAGGAGCAGGAGGACGACAAGCAGGATGGGAGAGGGACGGCCAGGACGACAATGGGGACCAAGATGAGACGAGGAGCAAGACGAGGGACGAGGATGTTGAACAGATGAGAAAGTTCGGATGGCAAAAGGGGGAAACGAACTGGTAGGAATATCGATGTAGAGTAACACGGAAGCGGGCGAGCGGAAGGAGGCCAGAAATTATAAGAAGGTGGAATGACGATGATGAACAGGGGTGGGGAGTACGTAAGATATCAGCCAATTGGCGGCGAGTTGTGCGCTGAAATGATTTGGACACTAAGCCACGTAGCGCAAACGTGGAACACATAGTTTTTTTTCTGCGAAGCGTGGAAACCTACAAAAGCTTCATCACACAACTGGGGAAGTTGGTTTCTCAATGATGTCAAGGCGTGCCCATCTACCAAAGTAGAGGTGCGGAAACGACGCCGTTCGCACACATGAGACGTGATCTGGGACGATTTACAACTCTAGAGATGTGAACAGTCGCAAGATATGAACAACAAACAGTGTCGACTCTGGCATGACGGGCATCGGGGCCCGATACTCGCCCCCGTGCCATTCCGAATTGAAACCATTACCTGGTCGAATCGTCGCTCCGGAACCTTGCTCTGTCGTTCTTTCTTGGCACAGCGGAATCCGTAGCTCGGCGCGTTCAAACGCCCACTCTTGGAATGAAACCGGAATTGGACACAGACACCTCACTCCCGCTGTTTCAAGCCACCTAGAACACCAAACTTATGATAAAGACGCCTTACGTTTTGAAGCACGACTTCCGTAACATTAAACTAAGAAGATAAACGCAATAGCGTTGCATCATCTTCCTTCTGTGTCGCTCCCGACGCTTCGCCCCCCCCCCTCCCTGGAACCTCCTGGGGGCCTCCGGGGACCCAAAGACACCGATCAACACACACACACAAACCGAGAAGCGCACACCGACGAGGACGGATGAGGATGAAACGGATTGAGCAGCAGCCCGCGCAGGCAAAAAACAGAGAACGCCATCGGCCGTTGTTTGCAAGAGCGTCCACCGAGGCAAACAACGACGCACCAAAGAAAAAACGAGCGGCATGCGCTGATGTGCTACGCGCGACGCTTGTGGAACGTCTGCTTGGCATGCGCGCGCTACGGTAGCGCGTGGGTCCCTGACGCGAATACGAGGGGCCGAACTGCAAGGAAACGCGCAGCGCCACAATGGCACTCGCGCCGCAGAACGACAGTCGCATCGGCGGGAAACCGCAAGGCAAGCCAACGGCCGAACCCAGGGGGGGAACAAACTGCTCGCTCAACGAAGCCATTGCGCCAGCACCTGCGCACTCCGTTTTGGACCGCTCTGCGAAGCTCCTACGAACGCGCAACTAAAACCATCCTCCCGAAAAAAACTTTGCACAAACACCAACCCGTCCCGCTTTTCGCTGCGCGCTTTTTGGTTGAAGGACAAACACCAAGCCAGAGAGAGAGAGAGAAAGAGAACGAGAGAAAAGGAGATATAGCGAGAAAAAAAGAAAAAGAAAGAAAGCGAGAGACCATGCTACAGCGAGAATGAGAAACACCGAGAGAAAGAGAGAGAGAGAGAGACCAAGAGAGAGCGAGAGATATAATAACCTATACAATCTGACCGAGGTGCAGC